TCAAATATTCTTATTTGATTTATTTGATTCAGACTCGGTTCGATTGGCCGAAGGATAGTTTCAATTTTAGTTTGAAATTAAAAATAATTTGAATTAATATAATTTTTTATTCAATTTTGTAAATTTTTAATATTTTTTAAATAAAAATGCAAGAAATAATATAGAAATAAAAATGCAAGAAATAATCAAATTTATTGCTTGAATAGCCCCTCAATAAGATAAAATTCGTGACAAATAACATAATCAAAATAATATATTATGAAACTAAAAGTACAAAGTTCGCTTTTTTGCTTGAATTGGGAATATCGAGATTATAAAAACTGACATCACGACTATATAATAGTAGTTGGACTACAACAGTCATAGTTGGGCTACCACAATTGTAGCTCGTGACTACAACAACATTCCATGGTAATGGTTAAAACCGATTGGTGGCTCTTCAAGTGCACTTCTTTTCACGAGTTATATCTTATCCCCTCCTTTATGTGGAGAACGGAGATTTATTTATAGTTTATAAGACGGGTGTTTTGGTATCCCCTCCTTTATGTGGAGAATGGAGATTTATTTATAGTTTATAAGACGGGTGTTTTGGTATATATAGTCAACCACCCTAAACACTATATCAGACGAATCATGTTGATTCATTCAACTTGTCATTTTTTCAGCATTTAAGTGTTTTAAAGACCTCAAAACTAAATTATTTTAAGTTCGTTTGATTCCTCTCGTCGTCTCAATCGTTCGATTTGACCATAAGCATGCCAAACTTAAAGAACATTTAACATTTCAATTAATGCTTGGTCTGGACTTATTTGGTCTCGGATTAAATCACATTTAGTGTTGAGGCTTAAAATTTAATGGCTTGTTGGCACGATAGGCAGCAGATTTTAGGAGTAGGGGAGTATTTTAAGGAAAAAACATAACAAGTTTCAAAGCCGCATAACTTTAAATGGGAGGGCAATTATTTCAAGTCAGCTGACACGTTAGTAAGTTGTTATTGTCTCTCGCATCATTGGTGCTTCATTCATGTGAGGCAATTCATGAAACATTAATACTGTATTATACAATAATTAAAGAGGGAGATAGAAAGTCCAATAAATGTGAGATTTTGCAATCTTCACCTCTATTTTTAGAAGAATCATACTCCTCAATTCTAATTAATCACGCATCTTTAGGAGGGGAGAGAATATTACATGCGGATAACATACGTGTGGATTTGGGTGTATTCGCGTTGTACTCGAGTGAGCACACTTTGAATATACTCATCTCCACATACGGATTCATCCACTAGTAATATTTTTTCATCTCAACAAGGCAATTGCCCTCTCTAAAAAAAAGAAATTTTTCAATCATGAGCGAGATTGCAATTTGCACAATTATCATCTTATTATTTTGTTTGCCTCGTCTAAATCCTCGTCTCTCAATTCAACTTACTACCTTGCCCCCCCTTTTTTTTTGGAAACTGAGAGCATTGATTGAATGACATTTTGCTACTTGTATATTAACAATTTAGGGTCCATGAATATTGTTATGCTCTAGACCTTAGGCTTGAGGACCCCCTTAATCTTATATGCTTAGAACAATTTTTTTTTAACATAATTTTTTATTCATTTATTTTATCAATTGCATTTATTTCTTCTCATCTAAATTAGTCTGTCATTGTTGTGGCCCATTAGACACGACTAAACTCAGTCATGCTATCATCAACTTTATCGCCATCATGGAAACCCTAGATCTTGCCCTAAATTTGTGTCACCCTCACAAATTATGTACTACAAATTGAGGTTGGTTTCACTCTCTTTTTATTTGCATATGTGTTTTCACATTTGTGACAGTCTGAACAAGATAAAGAAAATTCTTTTCAAATAGATGTTTGGCTAAATAATTTATCGCATACTCGCTTGTATAAGCTATTGCTATACTTAGATCATAACATATTGGGTCATGTTAGATAAATTGGCATCCTAAACTTTTGACGTAACGATAAAATTTCAATATAAACTCCTTAAATATAATGAAACATATCAGTCACACAAATGATTGACACTTTCCCACATCAGAGATAGCCGACTTCAGCGCCATAACCAAATCTCTCCCTTCTGTCCATCATTCATGAAATGATCAACATCTAAACTCACCACCCCATCTCATTATTAACTAAATATTTTAAATATTATTTACACATATCTCATTAACAATGAATTCATATATTGCACTCATCATCTTCCCATGCAAACATAATTTTGCACAATTAATACATCTTCTGACAAAAGCTGTTAAAAAGATATATATATGTTTGCAGTGTACGTGGGTGAGAGAATTGCTCACAAATTAATCCTCACCATCACCCACGTTTTGCCCTAAAAACTTCAATTAATACCATCCACGGGCAGCTTCCTCGGCTTTATCTATAAAATAAGAATAGGGGGTATTTACATGTATTCCATCCAATTCTATATGTATTTATCTATCTAACCTCTCAACTTTAGTTTTTTTTTTTACTTTTATACCATCCAAATACAATATATCACATCAAAAATATCACTATATTTTCATAGGAAAGGGATGCTGCTTTAGGGCTGTAAACGAGCCGAGCTTGAGCGAGCTACGTGCTCGGCTCGTTTGAAATAGCTAGTGTTAGAAATCGGCTCGTGAACAGTGTGCTCGTGTTCGGCTTGATTTAAATATTTGTGTTCGTGTTCGGCTCGAAATTGGCTCGTTAAACTAAAATTGAGAAAAATAGACGTAAAGTGTGGGATTCGAACCTGGATCAAGTTTATACAAAAGAAGACACTAACCACATTTTCACATGAGGTGTTATGATTTAAAATTAAACATAAATATATATAATATATTTTTATATAAATAATATATTGTTATATAAAAAATTATATAATTTTTTTTTGAGCCATTTCGAGCCGAACACGAGGGAACAAATTATACTTCGGGGTCGGCTCCCGAACACTAGTTGTTCACGAACAACGAGCCAAATTGACAGCTCTATGCTGCATATGTAAAAGGAAAGGAATTGAGGGGCACGCATGTAAATCTTCCAAACAATTTATAAAAAAAATTCACATACATACCACATTAGTCTTTTATATTTAAACACCTGCACCTAAATTTTTATATTTGAACTTATAATATTTTAATGTCATGAATCCATACTTGAATATGTATACTTCACTTCTAAAAAGTTGAAGTAAAACTGTAATATTCTTATATTATATTAAAGATTTTACTGTTATGTATGCAAATATGAAAGTTTTGATGTAAGTTATGTAATTACAAAAGAATTGTATGATATATATGTAGGGTCAGGGGTTCGAATCCTCTCGAATATAGGTTATGATACTCGAGTTTTTAGGCATATGAGAGATGACTGGAGCTCATATAATTACCTCATGTCATTCCTTCTAAATCTATATATATGTATATATAATGACCCAATAAAAATATTAAAAGAATAAAAAGTTATAAAATATATATGTCAAAAAATTAAAAGGTGGTCACGACCACCTTAAAGTACAGAATCCTGGCATGCAATGAGCTGTGCAATAGAGAGTTAGGAAATCATGCTGACCTGTCCTCACGAGTCTATTTAATTAAGACCCCTCCTCCCTCCTCTTAAAAGCCAAACCTCCTTTTACTTCTCCAACCAAAACTGAATACATGGCTAACATTCTTCCCTCCATCACCTTCTTCTTCTTTTTCATTCTTCTCTTCCTCCCTTCTCCTCCAACAATGGCCGTCAGGCCATTGTACAAGCTTGAGACTACCCATTACACTATATTGAACGCTCGTGCTCGGGAGGAGGAGGAGGAGGAAGAGAGAGACTTCCGCGGAAGGGAGGTGGAGGGATGTATGCCGAGAGAGTTGCGCGTGCCGCCGTCGGCGCCGAGTCGGTACGGGAATGACCATACGTTTGGGGATTTGATGTGTAAGCCGAAAGGAAAGCATAGGCCGTGAGGTATTCCAGATTAAGTGGAGGTTGAGGAAGAAGATAACATGGAGGGTTATTAGGGTTTATCATGTTTTGTTTACATATAGTTTTTGTTTTGAAGATATATTGATGTGGTGGGGATGTGGTGGGAGATGTAAGTCTTCCATCAAAGGATTATTTTATTCAAATAATGATGTATCATAGTATTCAATACTTGAATTCGTAGATGATGCACTCTTCATTCTTTTATATATATATATA